CTACACTGCTTTTCTCTCCCTGCTCTTTATTAAAGCACCTTTTACCCCAAAATGCAGCAGCTAAAGCTGAGAAACCCAACAGAAATACGGGACGGAAAGGCAGAGAGCAACCTCAGCGAGGGCTTGGATTAGCTCAAATCTTTAATTAGAAAAATAGACACAAATTTGGAATATTCCTGATAGAGTTTTCCTTTTTACAAACAGGATAGTAAATAACAAGAATAATAATAATAATGAAGGAATCACCTTTCCAAAGGGCTCGTTAGGCACCAGTTGCCAGAGCCTGGTGGCATCTCTCTCCCTGGGGAGAAAGGACAGGAGCAGCTGCAGCCCCGAGCATGCCAGCCAGAAAATCTCCAATCGGGAGCATCCTGCAAAGTGCTGGCAGGGAAATCACAGTCAGGGTGCCACAAACGCAGAGTGTCCGTGGGTTTGGGTATAAAAAACCCACCTCATTGGGGATTTCCTCCTGTACAGGGATTTTCCTTCCCCCTCCTTGGAATAAGAGCTATGAAAATGGCTCAGTCCCTGCAGTTTGGAGATGGCTCCGTGCGGCCGGAGCTGCCATATCCCACCTCTGCAGCGAGCGCTCCAGCACCGCGGCATCACCTCTGCCTCCTGCGTGCCCTTCTCCTCCCTGGCATGGCTCAACCTGCCTCTTCTCCAGGGCCACCCCAGGAGGGTATTCCCACCCCGGCTCTCCCATGAGACGCGCGGGGGACCTCAGGAAATGCCGTCTCCCAGTGCTCAGGTTGGAGGTTCACAGTGTCCCAAAGGAGAGACCCACAGAGAAGAAGCCCAAACCTTTGAGCTTCTCCTCAGTCCGAGCTTTCTGCTTCAGGTGGACCTTGCTGTGGCGCTTCTTCTCGTCGCTGCGGGCAAAGCGGCGGCCGCAGGTGTCGCAGGAGAAGGGCTTCTCCCCTGTGTGGGTGCGGATGTGGGTGGTGAGGTGGTCGCTGCGGCTGAAATTCCGCAGGCAGATGCGGCACTGGAAGGGTTTGTGGCCCGTATGGATTCGGAGGTGCCTGTTGAGCTCATCTGAGCGGGCGAAGCTCCTGATGCAGTTCTCCACCGGGCAGGCAAAAGCCTTCTCATGGGGTTTTGGGCAGAAGCATTTGGAAGAGCACTTGGTCCGGCGCGTCTTCTTCTTGGGCTCAGGCAAGGTGGGAGGGTTGGCAGGAAGCAGGGAAGGGATGGAGGAAGAGGTGGGGTGGGCCAAAAAGTCCGCCGGGGGTACAGAGGGTGAGGGGTGAGGATGGAGGAGCTCGGCAGAATTCATCAGACCTGGCAGGACGTCGGGCTGGGCCAAGGAGGCGTCGAAGTCCGGCATTAACGGAGGAGGGATGTTGTGGATCTTGGTGTCGGCGAAGTCTCCGCGGGCCGGG